GATAGATAGATAGACAGACAGACAGACAGACAGATAGATAGATAGATAGATAGATAGATAGATAGATAGATTGTCTGTTCTCTGCTGGATTTCCGAGCGAATCTTTTAATCGGATCCTGGAATGTTTCATTCGCTCTCACTGCTGGATCTTATAATCAGATGCTTGTCGAACATCTGAGCGGAAAGAGTGTCCATTCAGTCTCCATTCTCAAGCTTAATGGAGAAGCGTCTGGAGCCTCACATACACGAAACGGTTTGAGCAGAACCAATTAAATCCTAACTGCGGGGGAAACATGAGCTGCTGTGTCTGTCTCCGAATATCTGCTGCAGCGCTGCAATGAGGACTGAAGATCCAGAGAGAGTCAGATCTCCTCTGAGCAAGCAGAAGCCCTGGAGCGTCAGTGTTTGTGTACGTTTGAGAGTGTTTCCACACTGTTATGATGTCTGCAATCGATGAACAATACAGCCACCGATGGGAACACACACACACACAAACCAAGCGCTTTATTCACTGTCTGATTTCCCACCGAGAGGCCATCAGACTCCAGACTCACACCAGATACAGCTTCACGTCTCCACCGTCTCCGCCTCTGGCTACAGACAGCACAACACAACCCACCAGATTCCCTCTTCTAATAATAATAATAATTCCTTACATTTATATAGCGCTTTTCTGGGCACTCAAAGCACTTTACATAGAAGGGGGAATCTCCTTCTGATTCCACATCTCCACTGCCCTCATTCACATGCGAAACATCATATGAACTAGTCCTCTAACCAGCACAACCCGCTACTTACACTCTGAAAAATAACCGGCATTGATGGTGCCATGAAGAGCCTTTAACATCCATGAATCTTTCTACTGCACAAAAGAGTCTTTATAGTGGAAAAAGTTTCTTTAGATTCTTAAAATGTTCTTAACACTATGAAAAAAATGGTTATTTTAAGAACTGATCATTGGTTCTTTAGAAAACTAGAAATGGTTCTTCTGTGGCATCACAGGAGACAAAAAAAAACCTTTGAAACCTTTATTTTTAAGAGTCTAGAAGCTTTCAGATGCACAAAAGGTTCCTTAAAATGAAAAAAGGTTCTTCATATTATTAGAATGCTCTTTTCTTAAGATCTGCTAATTGAAAGGTTCTTTGAGGATCCAAAAATATTTTTTTCTTACAAAACAAAACAGAAATCAAACTTAATTGAGGGCTGTGGACCAAAAGTAAATGTTGTTTTATATCCAATTATATTATATTATAATATATTAATAATAATAAAAAAAATCTTGAAATAATTCAACAAAATTTTAAATAAAATTTGAGGATCCAAAAATATTTTTTTCTTACAAAACAAAACAGAAATCAAACTTAATTGAGGGCTGTGGACCAAAAGTAAATGTTGTTTTATATCCAATTATATTATATTATAATATATTAATAATAATAAAAAAAATCTTGAAATAATTCAACAAAATTTTAAATAAAATTATTTTTAAATTATATTTTTTTACATGATTTAACAAAAAAAAAGATTATATATTATTACATATATATATATATATTATAATATATATATTATTTAAATTATACTTTTAAATGATATTTTTACATTATTTAAAAAATAACATTAAAAAAAATTCAATCAAATTCACTGATATTGTTTTTTACAAACAAACAAATAAACAAACAAATGGTAACACAGAAATATCAATTAGTATTAGTGCCTTTTCCCCCCATTCTTGCGGCCAAACTAAAGTTCTCTGTCCTCTTTCTATTATTTCTTTATTTTTAAGAGTGCACTGGTTTACTGAACGAAAGCAGACGCTACTATTCTATTTTAATTCTACTTTATATTTATCTTTTTTCTTTATTTTTTTATTCTTTATTTAAAAAAACAAACAACAAAAAACAAAAACTAGCTTTCTATTTTTTCTATTCTATCTACTTGTTTTTCTTTGTTTGTGTGTGTGTGTATATGTATATATATATATATATATATACACCTTGCTACGTGTACTGCGTTAAGCTAACCGAGACTTGTCATTTGCACTTATATATTGTTGCTCTTTTGTTAGTTTTGATTGCTTTTATTGTCCACTTTTGTAAGTCGCTTTGGATAAAAGCGTCTGCTAAATGACTAAATGTAAATGTAAATGTACTATAAAGCTGAATGTTCACATGACTGATGGAGGTTTACCTGTCATGGGCGTGTAGACCTTGGGTTCGATGGTGCCCATGGGTGGAGGCAGGAGCGGGTTGGTGAAGCTGCGCAGGGGATGTGTGGGCCGCACACAGGCGGTCGGGATGGTGCGGCTGGGGATCTCCTCCGACCCCGACGGCTCCGACTGCGCCGTGGGAATCAAAGGCTGCGGCTGCAGCGGGGCCATTGGAGCGGCGCCCTCCGCTGACATCGCTGGGAAAAACACACAAACACAGAACGAAAACTGAGCTTTTATGTAAATGAGAGCCAAAAGCACCAGACAGCAGCCAATCACATGAAGATGTGACATATTTCAAATTCAGATTCGTTGATGGTGTTTCAGTGAATCTCATATGATCATGTCCAGAGTTTTTTTTTACCTCATAGAAAATAATAACTTACATTTTGGGGCTTAAAAGACAATTAATGTTGCACTGCACTGACACTGTCAGATGAGAACAAAACTTGGTCAGAATTGATCTGAATAATGACACTATTGTCTTCTGTAGAGCTGCTTTACAGCTGAAATTTACATTGACACTGAATTATTTAATCATTTGGCAGACGCTTTTATCCAAAGCGACATGAATTTGTTTCATAATTGATGAATTGCAACATAAACACTGTTATTTTCCTGATTATTACTTTGAAAAAATGTGTATTGCATAAAGTGCTATAGAAATAAATGTGGAATGAAACATTTGAAAAATTAAACTAAAAATGTGACCTTTTTCATTTTGTTTTAATTAAGCACATTCTCATTGCTGTTATTCAAAAATATTCTCAAGAATGTAATGCATATGGATTTATTGTCTTTTGATGGAGCTAAAGCAGGTTTCGTGAGACTCATTCCATTCCATTTCACTATAACTCATTCAGATGCAGTTTGCATGCTGATACTGAGAGCTCATGAAAGTCTATTAAAAGTATGAGTGTTTTGGTCATTTGAAAACTACGCTTGGATTTTTCCATTAGTAATCATGCATATATATGATGAGCGTGGATTAACTGGACTCACTGTGGTCCAGAGCCGTTTTATTTCAATGATGCAAAGAGACTCGAAGCTGCTGCCAAAGGACCAAAACAAATCAATTTCTTCTGCTGCTAACAAACTCATTTAAAGCGGAGACAGCAGGACGAGCCTGGTTTATTCAGGGCCAACACATCTCTATATTACATTAAATAAAACAGCTGCTTGTGTTGGTGTGTTGTGATTGGTCATCCAGTGATGATGTAGTAACAGCTGACATTACTCTCAAATACTACTACACTCTAAAACAACGATTTTGTGAAGTTATAATAAAAGATTTTTGGAAAATGTTTTACAGGAAAATAATATTTCAGTCTTTTTACTTGAAAATTTCACATTTATTCAATGCTTTACTTGCTAGATAGATATAACTAACAATATCACAAACGAACGATAGATAGATATAACAAACGAATATAATGAACGGTAGATAGATATAAAGAACAATAAAATGAATGATAGACAGATAAAATGAACAATATAATGAACGAAATATAGATATAACGTATTTTATAACTAAATATAGATATAACGAACAATATAATGAATGATAGATATATAGATATATTGTACAACATAATGAACAATAGATAGATATAATGAAGAGTATAACAACTGGTATAACAATAGACAGACAGACAGACAGACAGATAGATAGATAGATAGATAGATAGATAGATAGACAGGTAGACAGACAGACAGACAGACAGACGGACGGACGGACGGACGGACAGATAGATAGACAGGTAGGTAGGTAGGTAGGTAGGTCGATAGATAGATAGATAGATAGATAGATAGACAGGTAGACAGACAGACAGACAGACAGATAGATAGATAGATAGATAGACAGAGATAGAGAGATAGATAGAGATAGAGAGATAGATAGACGGGTAGACAGACAGACAGACAGACGGACGGACAGATAGATAGACAGACATAGACAGGTAGGTAGATAGATAGATAGATAGATAGACAGACAGACGGACGGACGGACGGACAGATGGATGGACAGACAGACAGACAGACAGACAGACAGAGATAGAGAGATAGATAGACAGGTAGACAGACAGACAGACAGACAGATAGATAGATAGACAGACAGAGATAGAGATAGATAGATGGGTAGACAGACAGAGATAGAGAGATAGATAGAGAGATAGATAGACGGGTAGACAGACAGACAGACAGAAAGACAGACAAACAGACAGACAGACGGACAGACAGATAGACAGACATAGACAGGTAGGTAGACAGATAGACAGATAGATAGATAGATAGATAGATAGATAGACAGACAGACAGACAGACGGACGGACAGACGGACGGACGGCCAGACAGAGAGACAGATATAGATAGATAGATAGATAGATAGATAGATAGATAGATAGATAGACAGATAGATATATAGAGAGATAGACTGGTAAATAGATAGATAGATAGATAGATAGACAGACAGACAGACGGACGGACGGACAGAGAGACAGACAGACAGACAGACAGACAGACGGACGGACGGACAGAGAGACAG